ATTTTTTTTCATGTTTCTTTGTTCAATTATTTCCAATGATCTGCAAGTGTCCTTATATTTATGACCAGTGAGTGTATGTCACAAGTTCTATGTTGTTTCATGAAGATGCTTATTTTTTACAAAACATACTTAAAATTAGGGATGTTAATTTGCTTTGGTGGAGCATAACTAAACTGAGTTTAAACACAAATTCAATTTAATATTTTTAATATCTGCTTCAAACATGCTTTCAATTATACTTTAAAGATGACATCATAAATAGTTTGATAATTTTCATCTTTAATAAATTATAACATGACTGAAGAACAAATTCTAGAATATAATATCAATATGTTTTTTTCTACTGAAAATATGTTGCAAGATATGCTTGAACCATTCCATTTGATGATTCAAATCATCATTGCATATGATATCTCAAATTAAATCACTCACCAAAATGATGAAAAATTGATCCTACTTAAAATACATAAACAAAAAATATGATCCACTAATTATTTGCAAAAAATGTACGAATGTATATACTTATTTTATTAGTGTTTTAATATAACTTATTTTCTACCACTTATACAAAAATAAAATTAAGCAATTTTAATTTGAAGTTAAAAATACTTAATTTCCACTATACAAAATTAAGATAATAATAAATCCTTAATATTCAACTTACATGGCTCCAAGTTCACAAAATCTCTTATTATTTTTTTTATTGTTTATTTTATAGACACCTCTGTCTCACACATTTAATATATATATATATTAAAACACTGATTATCCCATTGAATCAACTTCTTTGTTGATATGAATGATTTCTTCCTCAAATCCCTCATTACACTTGGAAAAAACAGAATTCAAAACTACATGAAGATTGCCTATTTCATTATTGTCATAATCTTCACATAATTTTAATTTGTAGAAGCAAGTTTCAGCCTTGGGAAGATTTTGCCAATCCTTTTCACCTTTATGAAACCAATTAAACTAATATAATGATATAAAATTAGCCAAAAAACAAAAAAATATATTAAATGTACGAAATTAATATGTATATTACCATTATTTTTTGTTTAGTTGGAATGTGGATAGACCCAGTTATCATCTTTAAAACATTCTGGCATTCTATAGGTTTTGTTAACGACTTTATGTAAATTAAAAATTTAAGATATATGGAATCTCTTCTAGAAATTGGAACACCTTTTGAATCATACAAAGTAGCTTCAATCTTTAATAAATCAAATTGATTTAAAAGCTCTTTGCAATTTGTCACCACTTGATACAAAACAGAGCTCATGCTATTCCAACCTCCTAAACTATTTATTGTCTGTAATTTTCAATGAAACCAAACTTAATTAATAAACACATAATCTGCACTATTTAAGGGAAATGAATAAAGAAAATATAAAATCAACCTTAATTATATCCAGTTTGTTAAAACCTTCTTTAAATTGCAGCAATTCCTGTTTGCGTGTATTAATTACTTCATATTGAGAAATATAATTGGCCAAATCATTTTTTTTTAATGTATTTAAAAAGGACATCTAAAAAGAATATCCAATATGCAGTTAAAAATTGAATTTTCATATTTTTTATTACATTTGAAAAAATTTTTATCACTCTTAAGTCTTGAAACATGACACCCTTAAAATAAAAAATGCCACCTACTTTAATATCATTAGAAATTGACCATTCTTTTAAATCATCAATGTTTTTGAAGTCACCTGAAGGAGAATTAATTATTGATTTAACCAATTTGTCAACAACTGGAAACATTTCAGATACTATATCCTTGAATTCAATCTCATTTCCAAAACAATATTTTAAGTGAAATGGATGAATATAATGTGGATATGGACCACCATGAATAAGTGCCCAAGAAAGAGCAATTCCAAAAATTCGATACATTTCATGATAATCTAACATGACAGTATTGTGTGACATTATCAAAAAATTAGAGTTATGTGAATCTTCAAATAATGGGCCACATTTATAAATTTCTTCCAAAACATCTGAAGAAAACTGTTTCCAAAATGTGTGCACTACATCTCTATACACACCTCCTGAATCTATTGCTCTAAAATATAAAATATAAAATATAAATAAAATTTTAAATTGCATGTATTATGAAATTAATAATAATCAGTGTTCAGAAGTAATTGAATTTTGATACATAGTAATAATAAATTACTGTTCAGTTATGAACCTAATTGTTGGTTTTAATAGTAATGCCTCATCGTTTGCATTACTAATCCATTTAATTAGATCTTTAAGTATTGTTTCACTGGATTCAATATCGATGTTAATTTTTCTGTCATTCGATTTATATTTTTTATCATAAAAGTCATATAAAGACTTATTTATATCATCAAGGTTATCAAAACTATAATTTAAATACTCTGGAGATGAATCAAATAATGTGCTTGTATGGTCCACATGATAATTTTCTGGAGAAATGTTAAAAAGTGCATTGTTGTTAGAAAAAGATAAATCACTATTTGTTGATTCAAGTATTTGTTGATCTAATAAAAATTTTATATCAAGTGGCTTATCAGTTGGTCCAATATATAACTTTTTATTACTCCCTGCTACTCTAAAATTTTAATAAAAATATAGAAAATTAAAAATAAAAAAATTTTAAAAATAAATTTCATATCAAAATTTTGCAAATTTATTTATCTATTTTTTAGGTAATCAAAATTTTACAGTGTGGGACAAAAAATTTTGCCTTCAATGTTGATGTAATTAAAACCTGTATACTTATTAAATTTAAAGAGTATCACACGAATAATATACCAAATTTGTATCATGTTATGTGGCACATTGTTTACATATTCAACGTTAGAATTATTTCACTGTTGTTCCTTTTAAATCACAATCAAAATGACATTACAAGATAAAAGATCGCACCCTCAAGTTATTTTACATTTTTGGAACAATGGAATATGATCTCCTCAAGAGATTCATAAACAAACTAACATCCC